GACATAAAATTCCCCGTTCACTACAACATAAATAAAGGATTTCGAATGGTAACTGTTTTTCAAACCGATTATGTGACGTGTTGTCTTGTTCAAGTTATTGATCGCTTGTCTGAATGTATAAATGAGAGCGTGTTATACGGGCCCAAGTTACCACTTTCATCTGCAGGTTTCAAGTATTCCTCGTTTACATGTTTAAAATGTTTATGGGAGAATGGTCCCTCCTTAAAAACGGTGAGTACCACTATTTCCAGTGTAAAATTCCCCCACTTAAAATCAATTCAAGACTTTCAAAATAAGAAAATAAGTTCTCCTTCGTGCACTAATACTATATTTTCCATGGTGTAGATTGTAACCGATTCCATAATTTGCAACAGCATTTGGTGACGTCAATTAACACTCATACCCTCAATTTATCTAAATTTGAATTATTCTATACGTCGTGTTTAAAGATTCGCGTCTTATCTCCGTCAGGCACTATCCAAATATACGAAAAGTAATTAAGTCTATTCTATAAGATCACGGTGCTTGTATTTTATTCTTTATATCGGAATGGATATCAGTCTACCTCATAGATAGTCTTGTAGACCGTAGAAGATGGCTTCATGAAGGTGGCGCCGTAAGACTACTTAAAGCACAATTTACAATTTGAATTTAATGAGGAGTTATTAGGCACAGGGTTATGGGAGAGGGTATAGGAAGGGCTGGTCTATTGGTGTAATAGAACATATTTAAGCTTGTATAATATTGACAGCAGAAGTCTATTAGACGAAGTGTTTAATGGCATGTAGCGATTTCCAGATATCCTGCAAATGCTCTTCACATTTTTTTCAAATATCAATCTTGTAAAAACAAAGTAAAAATGCACTTAATGTTTTTGATAATATAGCAGATGACTATCACGAAATAAGAAAAATAACCACACATTAATTGCAGCATTTCGTTAGACGCTTGAAACCTTGAGTCAATAAAAAGCGTTCAGTCGTATCACAGCCTGATCCATCTTATAAAATTAAACACGAAACGAAATAGGGCAAATTGAATGCCAATGTAAATCATTAAATCTATTACCATATCATAACGTATGCAATAATTAGTCTATTGAGCATAAAGTATTCTAACTTAAAATTTTATAATTATGGTTCGCACCATTGTTTATATTTGAAATCTTGACCTTTAGGAGATTAGTTCACCAATAACTGTTCTATTCTTGAATTTGTCATAAAGGCAATGCATCTTATCTTCACAAGTTCGTGTTTCTAGAAGACGAAAAAAGAAAAAATCAGGTCAGTTTCATTTCAAGGAGAAATTCCTTTGAACCAAAATATCATTTTTTATGTCAAAAATGATGTTCAAGTGAATTTTAAACACAAAACCCTACTAATTCAAAGAAACCGAACATGGCGTTTTCAATTATTCTACGACACTTGTTCCAATTTTATCTCGGGGCTGATGAAAATGCCAACTGAATGGTAGGAAATAGACCGGAAGTTACAATCGGAAAGCTAGTTTGTTCTACCTCACTTGATTCTCAGATATAAAACGCCTCCAGTGAAGTTACATAAACTCGCTGAAAGACTGAACATGGCTTGACACTCGAGTCACACAGACAGACTTGAAGAGGTTCACTGCTCAACGAGTCAATGTTGTAATTTTATGAGTTTTATTATTCTCAATTTTATCACGTTTAAATTTGTCACGGCTGTGAATGGGAAGATTCATAAATCGAATAGATGTAAGAAAATATAATAAAATAACCGAAATATTTCAAATAAACTGGTACATGGTTGTCATTATTAAATATTGTCTGAAGCAAAAGAAAAAGACTGAATTTTTATTGATTTTTATGCCGGTCATGAATTATGTGTTTAGATTAGTTTTATTATTTAGTGGCTGTGAATTTCAAACGTTGAAGAATAAACTTTATACTATTTCTTCTTGGTTTTACTTAATGACATTTTAACCGAGTGGCCATTCTTGCCCCCCCCCCCACAAATATTTTATTATAAACAACATTTGTACTCAATAATAATATAAATAATTTTATTCATCAAACACCTTGAACATTATTATACAAGCCGTTCATTTTACACCTTGAACATTATATAAGCCGCTTCATTTTATAAGTTGGGTGAGATCTGTCGTAAAAAACCCCCCAGTTAACTATAAACCTCTTTCATACCAGGAAAACAATACATTTAAATACGTAGTGATACTCTACGTAGTACAGATTCTAATTTGTTTTAACATGCTGTCATTGTGTTCTGTACTCGCTAGCCAACTTTGCTGAAAAAGGTTTTAGATGGCGTACCGAAAAGATATATCAGCGTGGGATATGAATGTCAGGGTCGGGATACTGGAAGGGAATTCATTAAAGCTCATTTTCCTCATTTTTGAGGTTCAGAATAAGAGAGTTCAAATGATAGCTCAAGAGACTACTGATACAATGGAAGGTTTAATAATGCAGACTCGGGTATAGACTGGTATAGTATTGTCCCGGTCACGCTAGCTTTCAAGACAAGGGAAGTCGCAGATAATGATGATCTTCGAGCAGGCCGAACAGTTGCCTACATTAAACCTATACTCGATGAAGAATACAAATTTCTTAACATACCAGAGAAATGGCTGGTTCGGGGATGAGGGTGGGTAGGGGATACTGAAACTATTCCTCCAAAGGGCAACACACCACCAGAAGCAGATGACAGGGGATCTGTAGACCCCTTACACGAAGTATGAAGTTACTCAGTTGTAAAGATATCCAAGAAGACACATTACTGATAACACTTGAGAGATATTCAACAACCAAGCAAAATGTTTAGTCAAGCTATTCTTAAGACGACCCAAGTACATGTACCAGCGGATGCGAAGCTTAGATTTCGCAACCGTACTAATAAACATTTAAGAGCCACCTCGATTTGTGAACTTTGTGGGTTTCAAGGAGGCTTTTACTGTGGTGGATGGACGAACAATTTCTAAAGGAGTATGGCATACTTTCGTCAGCATCACAGCGGAAGCCACAAGGCAAGAGAAAGCGAGGATGACCAGTGACAGTGTTGAGTATTCTGAATTAAAGACATGTGGTATCTCAAGGGAAGAATGTCAAAATCCTACGTTCCACATGAACCGGAAAGGACCTTGCAAGAATAGTTCTTCTGAAGATGCGCTTTTGCAACCATTGACGCAGTGGTTGTATATTGTCTCCCTGTCCGACAATCTAATCTTCTGTTCGCATTGCAGAATTTTCGTATTTTTTCTTTTATATTTCCAACACCTGTTTGGCTTAGTCATATCGATTTTACGATATTGTACTTCTTTTTGTAGAATCACCAGGCTGAAAAACAAGATAAAACTTTAATAATATTTTAATCTCGGTTACCTGTATAAGTATACATTATAACTCACAGCATAGTTTGTGAGCATGTACACACTTCCTAACTATAAACGTCAAGGTGTAAATTCTTACTGTAAATGTAGGCTGAACTGTTAAAAGCTAAAACTCTAGAGAAGAGTAATAAATCTAGCTAGAGTGATACTGTTATAAGTAAACTAGTAGAGATTACCTGTACGCTTCATCTGTTTATCACATAGCTTGTATCAATATTTATTTTATCACAGCATTTTCACCTAATTTACCATTTGTTCATCGTTAAGGCGTCGTCAGTGACCGTGAAATCGTTAGCATGGAAAACAAACTTTCTGCTTCCATCATGGAGGTCAGTTTGTATATGTGTATTATATTAAGAGCTGTTACAATAGTTACAAAATTGATGGACGGAATATTATTAAAGCACTGCTGGACCGTGCCCATGTATCTATAAACTCTTGAACTTTCAAAATTAGCTTTCATTATAATATTATACATGTATATGTTACAGGTAAATTTTCTGACCAGTTTTTTATATAATAAAGAAGTCATTATCGTGCACTTCATTATTGTCACTTAAATGAGTAATAAATTTGATATTCAGTAATTTTGATTCTCAATCTTAATGTGTCTTTCGCGTGTCTTTTGACAAAAATATGACCGTCTGTATAATAAATTACATTACTTTTTATCAGCTAACAAGAATTGCGTCGAATGTGATAGCCATTAATTTAAAATCCGCCTCCAGAGCTATCAAAGAAACAGGGCTATAATTTTACAGAAACACAACAGAAAGTCAAGTGACCACAAAATCACGCGAGGCATTTTTTACACTAACACAAGAAAAGTGAAAAAAGAGAGTCTCTAGGAAGGAATTAATATTCGGCATCTTATTACTCCCTCTCTCTCCCTCTCTTATTAAGCAAACAAAAACATTACATAAACTGATGTCCAAAAGAAAGTATACACTGTGCATTTTGTCCTGCTTCAAACAAAGTCATTTGGGTACAATGTCCATTTGTTTTGCCTTTTATTTGCTTAGAAATATTGAGTTTGGACGCACGAGACATGTTCAGTGTAGTTTTATCACATTTTTTTGATTTAAACAAAACTTAGTCATATTTTTAGTGTGTATACTTTTTTTTGGACATTAGTATAGATATACACAATGCAAAATGTACCTATTTTGACATTTTAATATCTAAACACTATATATACCACATTCTTCATTATGCTTTACAATAATTTGATCGTTTCCATTTTGGAACATATTCTCTGTTGAAAAGCTTATACATTACGTCATGTAATGTTTTATATAGAGCCAGTGGGTGTGCAAAGTAAGAATAAAAAAGATACCAAATGCTGTTCATTTTCGCTCGCAATATAAACAATAATAATGCTAACGAACGCTTTTTGGAAAATTAAAACATAAAAAGTCACTTACAAAATCCATTAATGTATTATTTTTTAAATTAATAATATGCGTTTCCTTGTTGAAGAACAGGAATATTTGTATGGAATAATTGATGCTATTATAGGATGTATATATTGATATGAGCACGACCAGACATAACTCTTCAATCATAGCACACAGTACGACACGAAGAATACATATGTGACTCATCTAAGGAACAAAAATCACGACATTTTGGACAGGTAGAGTTTGTTAATATTTAGGACATGTTTAGATGTTTATAGACTATGTAGAGATTGTACACTTGAATAGAGGCGACAATGACAGGTAACAAATCTATAGGCTGAGAATATTCTTGTTTCGAAGACAATACAATGGATAAAGAATTGCCTTTGATCAGACAATCGTCTACTGCTGCATCAGGTAAGAACAGTGTAAACCGTTATCTTATTCCCTTTTAAAATATCATCTTTATTGTTTCATTGATATTATCTACGTAACATTTACCTTTCAAAAGAAACAAATTCGTATTCCTCTGATATACAGAATAACTGTAAACGTTTGAGTAATTTTAATGTTCATAACCAGCAATGCATACCGTAACTGCTTCTCGGTGTTGGCTGTTTTTAACCTGCAGATTACAGGAATTAACTCTTATAAATAAAGTTAGAAGTGTTAGGATAATTTATAAGTAAGGAACGCCATTTGGGTATAATTTAATGTGTTTACTACACCTGTTAGTAAATAGATATGTACAATCTTATTTATATATCCTCCATTTTTACAAATACACTTTATGTCTAAATATAATAATTTATATTATGTGTTTATTATGTTGTAAGAAGTAAAATCTCTCAAATACATCCAGAAAATGGATGAAGTTTAAAAGATGTTCTTTAAGTTGGATATTCATCACCTATCTTATTCTATAAGATTGTATAACACCCTGGGCTATTCTTTAAATGACACTTTTTATTGTAAAGTGTCATAATGACTGACATATAAACAAAAGAAACCTATAAAATTTGGGTATATACAGTTATAGTTTACAGTCGATAAAGGATGATATCGAAAATATGCGATCTAACCGTTAACTCGATGTGGGTCATTCCAGTTTATCGATAAAAATTTGGGCAATCATTTTATTTTATTTTAACCTGGCCTATAACTGACAAAAATAATGCTGTTTTGGTGGTGCTCAAATCCATAATTTGGCTTTGCGGATGGGGTGTCTACTATCCCCGTGTTCTATCCAATATTGAGAAATTTTGTTACCAGCCCCACACCCCTTTCATAAGTCCTGATTACGACACTGTGGGGCTGTTCTTATTGCTATAATAAAATAGAGTAATCGTGCACATTTCCTGTTTAGCGTGTTACTTTATCATATTTTCCCATGGCGACAGATTCTATTCCGGTAGTAATACAAATCATTTGACAATAAAATCATTTAGCCAGAGGTACCCGATACTGTCAGATGATATTCTCAGACGACAATCAATATTGTTCATGGCACGATGTTTTGTGCCATCGTTTGCTGTGCTTTACCCTGCTGACTAGCCACAGCATGACAAAACAACTAAAAATGTTAAGATGTCTTTAATAACACACAGATATGCACAGAATCATGTTTGAAATGAGAAACGGGAGACGTGGAATATGAGAATGGAGGAATAAACAAACTATAAACATATTTGGGATAGGATATCTTTTTGGCATGAACAAACACACGTGTTTAAAGAATTCTATTGATCTTTATTATATAACATACGTAAAACATACAAATAATACAATAAATATGTATTGAGAACTTTGCTGCTACACTTACGTATGGATTGTCTGGATGGCTCTCCATCATACTTATGCCAAAGATGGATGTGAACATACAACGATGATATTAGATGATATTAAATGATATATAGAAATGTAATGATAAAAAAAAGTCATTTAATATCAACTTATCCTTTATATCAAAGCTACAAATTACAGATGTCATGGAAATGAAATGAAATGGGGTTTAATGTCCTACTGTTCCGGCTGGGCTAATGAAGACGGGCATTCAACATACAGTGTGCTATGAGGGAAATTTTGCCAGGACTGTTCCGGCTGGGCTAATGAAGACGGGCATTCAACATACAGTGTGCTATGAGGGAAATGTTGCCAGGACAGCGGCGCTATGGCCTACTCTTACATCGAATTCCAACTGCCAAGGGATGTTTTACGTGCACACAAATATGTACACTGGACCTCAGTTTTCGTCCCATCCAAACGACTAGACAGCTGTCCCTGTCAGATCCTTCGTCCTGCACCATTGACAAGGAAAAATGTCATGGTCCTAAAACATTGCTGGTAAACATTGACTAGTCTGGAAATTTCACCTTGATACTTATGCCAAAAATGAATTTGAAATAATATCATTGATATTAGATGTTGTATAAAAAATATCTAACGGCAAAACACTTTTGGAAATTCTATTGGTAATTTTAATATCAAACTGTCTTTATACAAAAGCTACAAATTATAAATGTCATGTTATCGTCCTAAAAATGTTTTGTTTGTTTGTTTTCAGAAACCGTGTACGATGCTCCAGATTCAGTAATTACTTTGCCAGATTATTTCCCCGTTGCACCATCCGTGCCGTCTTCAGCCTTACAAAGTCCAGTTAAAGAAACTCTTTCCAAAACTGTGAGTAATGTTACATCGGGCAAGTCTACAGTGTTCAGCGAACAGACCAAACAACACAACTCAGCATCAGAAACACAACCGTGTATGTAGTATCATCTCTCGTCTTCAGAAGTTATCTCGGAGGCTTATCCGGTCCATAACAGGATCACAAGTAGCAAAGGCGTTCATGCTAGCTAAAAATTCAATGTCAACTCAAATATCGCAAGTTTTATCAAATCCAACTAAGTTGTATCGCGTTTACCGGATCGAAGGGTGCCACGGTGGCTAAGTGGGTAATAGCCTGGAGGTCGCGTGCTCGATCCTTGCATTGGCCGAGAAAGTTTATCGGGATTTTCCGACGTAGTTACAACTTGTCAGTGGTGCAGGAGGAAGGGCCTGACAAGGACAGCTGTCTAGTCGTTCGAATGTGACGAAAACCCGAGATCTCGTGTATACATTGACGTGCACCTAAAAGATCCCTTGGCAGTTGGAATTCGATAATTCGAGTAGGCCATAGTACCGCCGCAATGATAAAATTTCACCAGATCGGAGGAAATATATATTCGGTAGGGTTCTTCCTTATCTTCTAAGAACTCTGTCTGGTATATTGTTACCAATATATCACAAATCCAAACGTAAATGGGGAGATAATGTTGAAATTTACAGTGCATGCAAATTTAAAAACAACCCCACTGAAACTATCACTCGTAACTGTTAACAAGAAATTGCAAACGGACGAAACATTGCATCCATTGCTCTTGAGGTTGGTTATATCATACAGGTAACAGATAATCAGAGGTGTCCGTTGAAAATCAATTGTGGTTATAAGCGCGGAACTCTCGGTTGACTGTTCCATTCTATGAGTCTGTTCCATTTATTTTTACAGGAGCGACTATACAAATAAACAAGATAAACAATACTTATTCAAATCATTATCTTAGTCTAAATCTTTTAACACATGGATCATATTATAAGGTCACTGCTTTAACTAAGAATATATCATCATTTTTCTTAATAAACTTTTTAAATATTAAATCCAACAATTAAATTTTCGATTTCAGCAAAGGTTTGGGATTCATGTATGCCTATTCAAAACCAATGTGAGTCATCTCCAACAACGGACCCAACATTATTGCCTTGAAAATTTATTGGTTGCCTTTTCCATTGTATATTGCAGTAGATGTCAGTCACCCTCACGTAATAAACAGAAACATTTGGTCCGTATGGGGAGATGAACCTCAACGTCATGATGATAGAAATCAAATGTGTTTGTACAATGGTGGATATGAACAACCAGTCTTACCGTATTATTATCACAAAGACCGGGTAAGACAAATGTCCTAATTGTTCGAAACATATTTCCATATAAATCAATGGATACATTCTTAAATTTTCCAAAATTACAGGATCCTTCATAATTTATCGGAATTGACAATTGTCAAGAAATTGAAACTATGGTATGGAAAGATACATGGATGCCATTGAAAGATACCATAAAATTCATTATTTATCTATATACCTAGAAGAAATGCACTCATGAATTTAACGGACTTTGCACCAAAGGTGCACCTACTTCCAAATTATCCTCCCAGTATTTCAGCCACCCTAGATAACTTGTGACTTTAGGGACGGCCTCCCGAATGCCCTTCCATTAAATTCTCGTATAATGCAGCAGAAGCAGCTTAACTATAAAGCCAGCGGTTTCAACATAGTACCTGCTGCATCCCTAAAATATTTAAGTCTGTGTGTTTAAGATAAAAATTGGTTAGTGTTTCTTTTGTTTAAGATAAGTTAGGAACAGCTATATAACCAGCAATTGCAGAGTACTAAAAGCCTCGAGCATCCCCTGCACCTCACACGATTTCAATAAAGTACCTGCTACATAAGTCCACTTCCGCCCTAGGTAATCGTGGCTATGCCACAGTGGTAGAACATGCAAAAACCATACACTATATCCTGGTTTTTTTCCTTCTTCAGAAATCAAAGAGGCGAAGGAGGGAGAAAAAAGCTCAATTCCAATCAGATGACGCTTTGAAAATTGCTGTAATTATTGTAGGGTTAATAACATTACTGATATTTCTTGTCACGGTATTTGTTGCTGTTTATTATGGTTTGACTGCTGATGTCTTAGCCCCAACCACAGTTCGACAATGACATTAAAAATACATATAGGCTAGATATTTTACAACATGCTATTAACAAATATTGTTATTTGTATATATTATGTAGATTTATAATAAATAAATTTATAATAATCCATATTAATTATTGCGCTGGAAACTGGCCAGTCTACCTTAAATAGTAAGTGCAGGGGGACTGCACCTCACAATTACACAAAACAAATCTACGAACAAGACACGTAGGCCTACATATCAGATTAAGTGAATGGAACCGGGGGCTAGCCGTAAGCGTCCACTGCACTGTACAGTCCCGGGCATGTAGTGATATAATAACTCAAAAATGAAAACCAACAAACAGGAATATAACCCAGAGAAAAAATACTTTGTGTAATATTAGTACGAGCCATGATCTACTATATGTCAAATGAAATACGTAAACATATTGATATAAAACAAATTACCTGTACAGGTAACCATACCGGCGAAATGTATAAAAAAAAGCCAGGTAGTCTAAAACTATAGTGAGAAACATTTGAGGTGTTCAGAAGAATTGAGGTGTATTGACTACTGATTTAGGGTATATATCTCATTTATCACAAACGGAGGAAATGAAATGAAATGACAAATAGGGTTTAATGACGAATGTCCTACTGTTTTGCTCCGAACTGGGCTAATACGCCATACAGTGTGCTATGAGGGAAATTTTGCCCGGACAGCGGCACTACGGCCTACTCTTATATCGAATTCCAACTCTCAAGGGATCTTTTACATGCACGCCAATGTGTACACGGGACCTCGGTTTTTCGTCTCATCAAAATGACTAGACAGCTGTCCTTGTCAGGCCCTCCGTCCTGCATCACTGACAAGGGGGAACCACGCCGGAAAATCTGGATGAACTTTCTAGGCCAATGCAGGGATCGAACACCCGACCTCCAGGCTAGCGAGCCAGTGTCTTACCCACTTAGCCAACAAACAGAGGAAAAAACAATACTGAATACAAAGAAGCAAACGGAGAAAGTGCAACCTGTCTCGAAGACAATCGTCTGCTGATTGAATGACGTGACGTAAAGGCGGTAGTTTGCCAAATGACGTCAAGAGTTAAATGTAATAAAAAAACAATAAAAAAGGCGATAATCCAGATAAGGGTTAATAAACTATCAATTTAGGAACTAATCGAAATTATTCAGCTATGTAATTGCACAAAATATAATAAGTAATTTAATACACCTATAAGAAACGCAAATCAGGTACATTATGTTACAAGAAATCGTACTATAAAAGTGTATTTATATACTCAGCCAAATTAAAAACTTGACACTCGGGATTTTTGGGACTAGATTTTTAATATTTGGTTTAAGGCAACTATTTTAGTGTTATGTTGTGCACAGACGACCTTTACATCAACAGAAAGCAAGAATACGTCTCGCCGAAAGTCCTTGACATTGATAACGTTCGTGATGTCACAGTACCCTCCAAAATGAAATTCACAGACTTGGAGAACAATCGGAATAGTAACGGTTGTGGCCTCCTCTGGCGTCTCGTACTGCCACACAACGTCTTGTCATGGATCTCAGAACATTAGTAAACACTACCCGAGGAAGACGTCGTCACTGCTCAGCAAGAGCATGTTGAAGGTCCTGCAACGTCAGTGGTGGATTCACTTGCTGACGAACACGTCGACCCAGTTCGTCCCAGATGTGTTCAATAGGATTAAGGTCGGGGCTAAGCGATGGCCAATCCAGGACTTGGACACCGGCATTGTCTTGTTGAAACGTTAGTCCAGGCCCATGTCTCTGCATAAACGGAAGAAGAACAGGTTGCAAAATCTGATCCCTGTACTGGAAAGCATTTAAGTTCCCTTGGACAACAACAAGAGGAGAACGTCCATGTGCACAAAAAGAACCCCAAACCATGACGCTGCCGCCACCAAATCGGTCAACTTCTCTGACGCATACTTGAGTGTAACGTTCACCTCGTCTGCGGTACACTCGGACCCTGCCATCTGCAAATCTCAAAGTGAATCGAGATACGTCACTAAAGACAACCGAATTTCACTGTCTTTGAGTAAATCTTATGTGTCTTGTGACCCACACAAGTCGGTTACGGTGATGAAGAGGTGTCAATATTGGTCCATTATAGGGCCTCCGAGCTCGAAGACCAGCAGCCTGCAAGCGATTTCGAACAGTTTGTGCAGTTACCCTTCCACCAAACATCTCTCTACTTGTGGAGGTTGCAGTGACAAATCTGTTTCTAAGATGACGTAGGCTAATCGTATTGCTTGATCTTCCTGGAGTGACGTCACACGTGGCGCTCCCGCCCTTGGGTGGTCGGCAATAGTTCCAGTTTGAAGCACTCTCATTGTAAGATTAATTATTGTCTGGCGTGAACAATTAAGGCTCTTGCAACAGTGGCCACAGACTGACCAGCATAGAGCCTACCTATGGCACGTAGACGTTCTACATTTGAAAGGCGCGGCATTTTCTAACAAAGATGAAAATAACAATTTTAATTTGTTTTTCCAGTTCAAGTTACGTGTGCGTGTTCAGTTTAAGCAAACTTGCATCGATTGACCTCACGAGTTTGTGTTTGCACGTGTTTTTCAGGTTTTTCATCTTTATATGCTCAAGTGACCTTACAATTTTATGAAATTAAAGGCTTCTTACTACTTACTATCGTTAGAAACACTTTAAAATTTATTTGACTTACCAGAAAAAAATTTTTTTGTTGAAATTCATCAGTGTCAAGTTTTTAATTTGGCTGAGTATATAAAGGCATAAAATAAGGGCGATAATGGGTTTGGGTTTGGCAGAATTTAAGTCCCTTGTTTATTGTTTTAGCCAAGGGTTTTGTTTGGAAGTTGATACAGGATATTATGTATCTGAATTTTACGGTTTTTTTTTTTACCTAATTTAATCAATGTAAGGTAGTGCATCTATTTTAACATTATCTTTAATAGCATAGCTCATATTGATTATGTAAAATATCTAGTCTATTTAAATCCGCAATGCATTTATAAGTGTCAGTTTTGGTGTTGGGCCGAAGTTCAACTTCGGTAAGACTATTCTTACGATAGTATTTTTTACAGGTAAAAGCCATACAATTCTTCAGATCCGGTAACATAAATTGAAAAGAAATAACCAGATATGTTTTGCTATTTTCTTTCCATTACTTCTTCCCATCAGATACCAATCGTCTTTACTTCCGAGTAGACTATACTGTTCCTTCTCCATCTTTTCACTGGGGCTCCTCATTTTTGTTCGTCTTTATTGTTTTGTGCTTGATGCTTGACTGGCGGCGTTTTCTCGTGGCTTTTTTAAAAGTGTATGGTGAATGTCGAACGCTATTATATATTTTGGTTTACCTATTGACTGTTAAATGCGGTGCATTTTTAAGAGACGTAAAGCGGTGGGGCCGAAGTGAAAAGTGGGTCGGTTAGGAGGGGTTGGGATGGTGTAAAAAAGACACTTGTAAAAAAATATATATATATTGTTGTTAGACAATTTCATGAAGTCACAGACGTTTTGGGATAGTTTAGAATTCATGTGTCCATCTAGAACCCATAATAACTTGTTTTCTCGGTTGAACGATGATGCTTCTGGTTATGAGTGGTTAATAAATTCCTAGCCCACCAGTTTTGGATGATTTGGGAGGACTGGTGGGCCAAACTGGTAAGTGACCCATGAATCAGACTTTTAGCAAGCGTGAATTCCTGGCCCGTATCGCGTATCCGTATATATTTCGCGTGTGACGTCATCAATGTGTGTGTATTTCTCATACGTGATACGGCACACGGATACGACAGCACGTGTCGATCAGCTTTCATACGGAAAAGGTCCGTATAACATTGTCGTCTTTTTTACCGTCTTTTTGCTACTTTTAGAAGCTGAAATGTTGTGTTATAGCGTTTTTATGAATCTTTGTGTAGGCTATCCCAGAACACGAAGGTGTATATTTGATGTGATTTTAACCACGATAACGACTGGAATTTCGTCATTTATTTTAATGGGTTTTTCTCGGAATTTTCATACTTTTCCTGTCTGTCTGCATGCTGGTAGAACTACGTGCTAAATTTAGGGAGGTGGGACTTTGCAAATCTGTAAATGATTTTGTTCTATGGTAAAGGGGTACAAACTTTCTGAAATGATACATTAGTGAAACCAGAAATTGCTGTCGAATCGAAGTCGAAGATTTTTAATAAGATTCGACATTACATATTTTTTTAATAGTCCAGCGACTGTCGAACGACTTCTCTCCCTCCGGGTAATTGTAGGCCAGGCACTTGACAAGTACTGGTGGTGATGCTGTAATAGAACTAATATAGTTCAGCGACGCATAAGTACGCGACGCGAAAATCTGCCAAAACTCTAAAACTACATTGGCGCAACGTACCACGTATATATACGATACGGATACGTGATACGGATGGGAAAATTCCACTTGCCAAAAGTCTCTATTATGTGAAAAAATAAATGCCACGCATAATATCTGGTACATTTAAATACACGAAATCTTGATATTGAGCTATGTTCCTGTTGGAATTTTCCAAAACTTGGTGAGAGTGTCAGTTACGGATAGAACGAAGAATCTTATTAAGTTACAAAATTTCCGGATCATAGATTTCATGAATCCATGGCTACTGTCACAATAGTACTGTATACTAAAGGTTTGGGCAGAATTTTTCAAACGTGTGCTCAGGAGATATTTTGTCAGTGATTGAGGGCTAGCACAAGTGATATTGGTGGGCAATATTTCGGGCGGTGTATTTTAGGGGTTTTTTTTCTTATTTGTTCCAACCATGGACCTTTATGTAATGCATTTAAGGTCCATGGTAACAACGATGTCTATTAATCAAGGGAGACAAATCTAATTTGTACAGCCGACTTAAAAGAAATTTATCTAAAATAAAAAAGAAAGAGGTTATTCATAACCATAGTATTTAGGTTAGGGTAAGGTTCCATTGCAACACTGTACACTGTATAATAAACAAGTACAAGGATTAGCTCAGTTTAGTTCAATATTTTTCATTCTTTACAATGCTCAAGAGGTAATATTTTTATGTAATTCATAAATTAATACAATATTTACCAGGTAATTTTGATGCCTAAACACTGTGGTTATGAATAACCTCTTTCTATTAAAACCAGCAGTTGCCAGGCAAGATACGCCCACATTTTGCAAGAGATAGATAGAGAACTAGCTAAAAAAAAACATGCGATTTTTCGTACAATCAGGGGCCATAATCCAAGAAGTTATGGTCTGAAATGCGCAATATCGAAAGGGACTGAGATCTTTGGCATATAAAGATATATTTTAAGTTTTATCAAAATCGGACAAAAATTGTGACCTTTAGTGCGTCAACAACCTTCGTATTAAAAACTTGTACACAATTTGCGTACAAGTAGCAGCCATTTTGTCCTGCAGTTTTGGTGCGATTTTCACGAAATTCGAACTCAACCGTCATTAGGGTGTAACGGTGATACATTTAAACTTTTTTGTAAAATCGGATAAAAATTGTGATCTCTAGAGGGTCCACAAGATAAAAACGTGATTTTTCGTGCAATCAAGGGCCATAATCCAGGAAGTTACGGTCTGATATATGTAAATATCGACTGGAAACAAGATCTTTAGATTATATAAACATATGTTTCAAGTTTCACCAAAATGGGATAAAACTTGTGACTTCTAGAGTGTCCACAACCTTGGTATTACATACTTTTACACTATTTGCTTAAGAGGAGTGGCCATTTTGTCCAACAGTTTCGGTCAGATTTTTACGAAATTCGAAGTCAACCTTTATTGATGAGTAACGGTGATACATGTATATTTAAATGTTTTTTAAAATTAAATAAGCAGGTCAACAAGCTAAAAATGCCATTTTTCAAAAAATCAGGGGTCATAATCCACAAAGGTACGTTCGGATATGCGCGATTATTGAAAGGGACCAAAATCTTTGTGATATAAACATAAATTTAAAGTTTTATCAAAATCGGATCGAAATTGGGGCCTCTAGAGGGTCCACAACCTTGATATACCATATTTTTACACTATTTGCGTACGAGGGGCAGCTAATTTGTCAGGCAGTTTTGGTCCGATTTTCACAAAATTCAAACTCAACCGTCATTAGGGTGTAACGGTGATATATTTAAACATTTTTTTAAATCGCATAAAAATTATGACCTCTAGAAGGACCACAAGCTAAAAGCATGATTTTTCGTACAAACAAGGGCCATAATAGAGGAAGTTACGATCCAATATGTGCGGATATCGAAAGGAACCAAGATCTTTGGGTTATAAACATTTATTTCAAGTTTCATCAAAATCAGATCAAAACTGGGACCTCTAGAGGGTCCACAACCTTGATATACCATATTTTTTATACTATTACGTACTAGGTGCGGCTATTTTGTCCAGTAGTTTTGGTCCGATTTTCACGAAATTCGAACTCAACCAACATTTACGGTGTAACAGTGATATATTCGTATGTTTTTTTGGAGGGACCACAAGCTAAAAATGCGATTTTTCGTACAATCAGGGGCCATAATTCAGGAAGTTACAATCCGATATGTGCAAATATCGAAAGGACTGTTGGGTTATGAACATGTATTTCCAAGTTTCCTCAAAATCAGATGAAAACTGTGATCTCCAGAGTGTCCACAAGCTAAAAATGTGTTTTTTCATATCAGGGGCCATAATCCATGAAGTTATGGTCCAATACATGCCAATATCAAAAGGAACCGAGATCTGGGAGATAGACCTATATTTCAAGTTTCCTTAAAATCAGATAAAAAAGGTGACCTGTAGAGCGTCCACTAACAAATTGTGGCCGGACAGGGGCGACGACAATATACGTCCAGATGAATATGTGGGCATATAAAATGACTTCTTAACTACAGTACCACTGGAGATCACCACTTGCATTCACAAAGGTTTGGAATGTAAATACTAATATCTTTAAGCCCTTAAAAGACAACAATCTAGTTTGCCAATGGCTTAAAATTAATCCAATAGATCAACTATCTGCACTTAGCTTAGCAGCCAAGTGTTGACCAAACACATTAAACAGTGTAGGTAATAGGTATGTACATGTATGTAACAAGTCCAACATCGAGACATGAGATATGTATGTGAATACATATTTTATTAAGAATAATAATAAGCAAATGTATATAAAATCTTTAATTAACATTGTCTTGATTTAAATAAACTTATCCTAGATTACACTCTCATTATTTCAAATATAACACGTTCAATGACACTATGTTCCAAGGTAACAATGTTGGACCACAATCAGATCACAAAGAAAACAGAATTAGGATGTTAACTGAGATGTACCATACTACCATAAAAAAAAAAAGTCTTAGAAAATAAAGACACTAGAATGTGCCAGGTACAGTAGTTTTCTATAAGAGTTAAGACAAAATATGATACATCTAGCTAGTATTCAAATTATAGCAACAAAAGGATAAAAAGCAACCAATGGTAGCTGCTGAAAGAATAATGATTTTCGGTAATAATGACTAATGTTGAAGAAATAATAATTATTTACAAAAAGTATTAGATAAATTAGCTTTAAACACAGATTCAATCTTCTTTTATGTTCTAACTCTAAAGACAGGAATTAATATAGTTCTAGGATTTGGCTTAAATGTGATTTTTCCTAATTGTATCTTGAGATGCCTCTTACAACCTTATTTCCATGATAGTAGCGCCAAAACAAACTCGATCCTCTTTTTAATTGGTTCTGAGCATGTAAAGATTTCCAACAATCAAAAGAATTTTCATAGTATGGCATCCTTGGTGGTGAAGCTGCCATCAAACCTGACCCATTGACTGCTACAACATTACTAACAAGAACAAATGGGTAGGTTATATGTGAAACTATCAATCCACATGCTGCAGCTGTATAGGACTGCATATCTTTTTCTTGGACTATATATTTATTGATGAGCTGGGCCAGGAAGTTGGTGATCCAGACTGTTATTATTTCTCCTACAAGGCGAGGTAATAACCCAGCAAAGTAACCCAAGATTCCATCATTCCGATAAATTTCTGCTATAGAAGAGAAGATTGAGTCATATTTAGTTTCTCTGCCTACAAACTGAATCATGCTTCTCAACATAATGACATGGAACGGGTGGCCTACAATAATACCAACACAACGAGCAACAGTTTCTTGAGAAGTTTCTTTACAGAATTCAGACAACCACGTGACCAGTTGATCTTCATTTTCTGTTAGCTGGACTGGTGCCGGTTTCTTAGTCTTTTTATTTGATTCCTTAAAAGCGTCATGTAAGTTGTTTTGGATAGCATTTCCGATGGTTCCTGAAATAACTCTTGGGATGACACCTCGGTATAAACCCCAAAATCCATCCACTTTGCGAATATGACCAACGTACTTGAATATGTTTGGGTACACCCATTGTTCTTTGCCGAAAAGAGAAACCGACGGCTGTGGTTGTAAGGGCTCGAAGCCTACTTGCATTAATACTTTGGCATATCCGATAGGATGAAGCGTGGCAGTAACTGTGGCCCCTAAACCATACTGAGCAGCAAGCATCGCAGCCATTTTCAGACTTTAGCTGGTTACGTTTAATGGGAGGTAACTCTTTGTGTGTTTGAGTTATCTAACCCTTTTTAACCGATGTTTACAGAGGGAGCTTATTTTTAGTATTACACGTGTTTCTAAAAATAGTTGTGTGAAAACGCTGACATACAATTTTCCTTTACGTTTTCACTGCATTTCATCATAAAAACAATATACATTCAAACAATTCTAGAAGACTATACAGCCAATAAGAATATAATTCAGAAAAGAATGTAACTGTGTTATTAGGCGTATATGACTGCTGTTGTTTGTGGCTGTGTTTGTCTTCTTTCCTTGATTTTTTTAGTATAAATTAAGTAAGTTAAATTGCCTATACATAAACATATCGCTGTATGATTAAATATTTTTTAATTATTATTTTATAATATGTGGTATGTAGGATGTTTGATTTAATAATAAGATAAAAAAAACCCATGTTATCAATTGTATAAATTATAATATTATAGGGCTGTTGCAATAATTGCTTAGTAATAATTTGAAAAAGTGTTTAAGATAAACAAATAATCTCTTTCCTTGACATTCTAGTTGAACGGTACCGGTAACTTATAAATTATACTGTATTTGCAAATTCCTGGGTATTTATACATAGGACCAACAATATGAGTAGGAAAAGATGGCAGCTGATTTTGGCTTAAACAGGCATTTTTAATAGCTTTATAATGACCCGTCTAAAAAGAATGTCAAAATGTCAATGAGCCTGTTTTTTGTTTGTTTCAGTATTTGTTTAGTCATAGAACTGCTATGGTTTGATGCTAAGTCTACCCCCCCGAACTTGAAGATTCTGTTTCTTGAGAAAGAGTACAAAGAATGGACTTTTTGATAGTAAACACGTCATTAATTTCACAGAAAAAAATCTTGAAATCTTGATGTGCTTATTTTTGTGGGGGCTGGCATATGTTATCTTGCTCAGCGAATTAAATGCCATATCTGTGATAAATCAGGAGCCCAACTGATAAGCTTACTACACAGATAACCAAATTATAAATTTATAATTTTCTGTTTTTTATAGACACGGTAATCATGACTTCAAAATGTATTTTCCATGATGATAAAGTCAGCTTTTATGAAGTATGTAAAATTATCCAGAAAGAAAAGATCATTTGTAAAGCATTAGTGGATAGATATGCAATGGCAATCTGTTCTTGTAGAAGAAATGGTAAGAATATAATGAAAGTATTTTAAAGAGGGGTGGTTCTCCGAAATAGTCACACAACGATGATTAGTGACCTGGCAATTAAACGAATGAAAAAGTCTGAGTTTTGATAGGATTCCTCCTCAGGACTAACCAAGCATTCTCAGCAGGTTTTAGGAACAACCTCAAAAACATTTGACCTGTAGTGTGTTTATAAGGTTTTGGCAACTGGTGCAATAACTCTTATGAAAAGTTGTTTCAATATGTGTCCTCCTTAGTCTGAGCTGACAAATTCCATCTAATAGTAGTTGGAAAGAAAAAAAACAATCTCATAAACTCTGAAGGTTTCGCCGACAGGGACAGTAATTTCTGGATTACACAACTCTGGATGTCAATAGGGTTCCTCTTCAGGATTAGCATGAACAAGTTTGAAAAAATAGTCTCAAAAACTCTGACCTTGTTTACAAGGTTTCATTGACAAGGGCACTTACCTCTTTGAAAAAATCCAAGCAAGTTTGAATTATTATTTTTCAAACACTCAGACATGCAGAGTGTTTACAGGAAATGTGGGCCTATAGAAAAAAGAAAAGTTGTCCCCTTTCCTGTCACTTTATCAAATTTCAAGATGTAAGAGGTGAATAAAAATATTGAATTTGTATGATTGAAAAGTTTCTCATTCCCTGACTATATCGATTTGAATATTTTTCAAACTGTATTTATTTATCTTACAGCAAGCAATGTTAATGAGGATAGAATAAATTTTGATATGGAAGAATTACAAGTTCAAGTCCTTACAAAAATGTCAGCGAAACAATGGGATGAGAACAATTTGAAAATCATAACTAATTATATCCATGGTCTCCCTGTCGATGAAGAATTCAACCAGAGTGTAAAGATGTTCCTGAAATTTCTTAGTGATGCATTCAGTAAAGATTTTACAATGTTAGAATCTCATTATAGAACAAGGGTAATTAAAGCTGCATCAAAATCTGTTAAAAACATGAGTGCAAATAACTACAACTTTTTTATAAGGAAAAAGAAACGGAAAGCCTTAATCAAAGCCAAAATAACTGTAACATTATTTGGCGGAAATACTAAATATTTAGAGCAAGATGAAGCGATTGGAAAACAATTTAGTGTGATTGGTAAACAGTTTAATTGTATTCTGTCCATAAATGGAGAGGAGACTGGAGCTTATATGGATGAAGATAAAACTTTATCAGTTTTAAATGTATGGTGTAATGATCGTGAATCACTAGCCGCAGCATCTAAAATATTGGGGGAAGTGGCACAGAAAATACAGACTATACACAGCAAGCCTAAGAGACGGGCCAGACGTCATGTTGCAAGTATAAAAACTAGGGTAAGTATATTTGACTGAATGTCTCTTTAACACAGTACATCAAAGAGAATGCAGTTCAACTGCCCAGCAAGAGATAGAGAGAGAAAGAGGTTTAATATCCACTCAATACACACTAGGGGAATAGAATATGCTGTATTGCTATTGTAATAATTTGTTGTGTGCAGGTGTGTTTAGCAGTGTGAGGAAACCTGAAAACCAGGAGAAATCCCACATGATTGGCAAGTGACCCTAATCCTTGGCACGTATAAGCTTAGGATTTAAAACCACAACACTTACATTGATGTCAGACCTTATCATCCAAAGCATGGGCTGTACATTAAAATGTCAAAGTTACTGACAACATCCTGCACAACAACAAGATTCATTTATTTTTATTACATGTATGTACATTTTTAGGACCTTGCTGTTTTCTTACCATCTGTACAATTAGATACTTCATTTGTTAGTTATTAAAACCAAAAAAGTTACTGACAACATCCTGCACAACAACAAGATTCATTTATTTTTATTACATGTATGTACATTTTTAGGACCTTGCTGTTTTCTTACCATCTGTACAATTAGATACTTCATTTGTTAGTTATTAAAACCAAAAAAGTGGGAACAATGTACAACTAATATATTTTTATCTCTATTTTATTAAAGGTGGTGAATCCTGGTGACTCAAGAAAAGAATATGATGCTATTGGTGAGATATTCAGCATCCTTCCATAAATGTACTATTAATGCTCCCACTATGATATGTAATATTATGTAGGTCTCAAAATGTAATGTAGCATTGTTGACCTTGATTCTGTGAAGATGTTTTTGTTACTTGTTGGTGTGATCACCATATACATTCACCTAGATGTATCATCCTCATGTCATATAAATAATAATAATATGTATGGTATTTTTTCAGATATAAAATATGATTTATCAGATAATTATGAACTGAAGAAATGTAGGTCTCAAAATGTAATGTAGCATTGTTGACCTTGATTCTGTGAAGATGTTTTTGTTACTTGTTGGTGTGATCACCATATACATTCACCTAGATGTATCATCCTCATGTCATATAAATAATAATAATATGTATGGTATTTTTTCAGATATAAAATATGATTTATCAGATAATTATGAACTGAAGAAATTTAAACAAGGAAAAAACACTGGGTAGGCTTAGCTAATTTATTCTAACATTATTTTAATTATCAGTTTTACATTGGACCTTGTAAATAAGGTCTGTTGTTTTACAATACTCAATAAAGCTTATAATTGTAATTTAATAAATAAAGAATGGATTTCTTTTAAAGGAAGTTTGTAATTTAAAAATATGTGAATTAATATATCCTGCAAAAAAACCCATTTAAATTAAGATTGGACTTTCAACAACTTTTACAGAAAGAATAAGGTAAAAGTGAATGTTTTAAAAGATGGACACTGTCGACATTGTAGAAGAGCCTTTGACACTCTGAAAAGTTCAAACACAGATGGAGATTGTCAGTATCATTCAGGATATGTAGGTATGTAATCTCTGTTTTATTATTTGTATATTTAATAAATGTTAAAATACCCTCTGCAACCCATAAGCACAGATACATGTATATATACTTGATACTGTGAAATGGAGGACACCGATGATGCATGGTGTTTTTGACATTGTTGTTTTCAGTTAACATTAAAAATCAAAATCTTTAATTTAATCTCATATCTCAAAAAATAAAATTGAGATCTGTAGGTATCTTAGTACAGTACCTCCTATAGGACTTCTTTCTTGTGTGTTTGTTTCTTCGTGATCGTAACAAGACTACAGCATAAATAGTTTAACAACTTTATTGCTAAGCTGTAATGGCTTTGCAGGTTCCTCGTTCTCAATAATAATGGCTGCTAGGAATTTCTGAATGAGTTCTGATCCAACTCGCTCTACACAATAATTTATACCCCCTAATTTCTGCCGGTCTTTGATAACCTTGACGTTAATTTCCATCTTATGTATGGAATAAACCTCTTTATTTCCCATGACTAAGAGAGGAGACATTACCTTATTTGGTTTACCAATCATAGGTCAATTAACAGCCAGAATTTGATGGATATTTTGACAATGATTATGATTTAACCAAAATATCACTGTTTTTTATGTATAACTATAAATTCACGTTCATTAAGTACGTGTGGTTTGATTCTATAAACAGAGTGAAGCAACAATTTTGCAAAGAACCAAAATTGTCTCAAGGACTAAAGTGTTACACTCCATAGTTTGATATGTGAAAGTAATGTACTTATGGAATAAATTATCTAGAGCTCTGAATGTATTACCTGTATGTTTCTCAGAGCCATTAGTCAGTACAGTGTATTGTATTTTCAGTAACTGGATATGGTATTGGTGGTTATGAATGGAATTGTTGTGGACATGTATTAAGGAGATCACATCCTGAAGTTGAAGACTACAGTGATAATGGGTAAGTTTTGTATTGATATTTGGCCAGTAAGTTTTCATCTTTTCTCAATATTTCTAAAAAAAAAACTTGAAATCATAAAAACATAAACATAATATTATCCCCAAAAAATCATACAAGACCTCTATTTTTATACAATGAATGGTCTAACTTCTTCTTGGTCTAAGGACATTCCTTTGTAGGGCATGTTTAGTAAAGTGCGTTGGTCAAATCCAGATCAACTACTACCAGCTATGAAACCCTGAAATGCAGAAAATTCAGAGAAATATTTGAAAGGCTTTGATTATTAAGACATTCTATGGCTGTTTAATCAAGTCTAAAGTTATGATTGTTCTGTCCTAACAGGCCGAGACTGAGCAAAATTAAATAAGATTATACCCTTAGATGTCAATGAAGTGACCAACCAAATACACATAAGAAAACAGTGTCTAAATTCAATTAGATTGTACTATGTGATACTTCACATTGGAAGCGGAGTGGGTGGATGAATGGTTTAACATATGCACTTTAGATCATAAGGTCTGACACTGAGTCAAGTGGCAGCGTTTCGATTCCCTGCTAGTTCGTGACCAGGAGTAGGGTCTCCTGTCCTACCTCGTGAGTTTTCTCCGGGTCCTTCAGTTTCCTCCCACTGCTAAAGACCACTACATGCAATCGAATTATTGAAATAAAATTGAACCATATGTCAGCCCTGAAATGACCTAGTTTGTGTGGAGTGGACTTAAAACACCTCTCTCTCTCTCTCTCTCTCTCTCTCCATGTTAGGTTCTCTTTAATCAACACTGCTACATAATATTTACCTTTGGAAAGAAAAATCTTCACAGTAAAATATCAAAAATAATAGATTGGGTATTTTGATTTGATTTTTGTCCTTTTCAGGTGTACAACTGGGAGACATTTGTGGGTACCTTATAATGATAAAAAAGATAGTAGGCTTAGAAAGAAGACAAGTGCTGTGAAATATAATTAATGTTTTTATCGATTAATATGTCTGTGATATTTTCATAATTTATTACTTTTGCATTTATTGGGCTATTTGGGCACCAAATATAAATATTTATATCTGTGAATTTGTTGTTAATTACTATTTTGTTATATTTATGGTTACATGTATAATTTTATAACACAAACATTTATGTATCTTAATTGTTGTTTTGAATTAAATTTAGTTATGCAGTATCATAAGTTTTACATTCATTATTGAGATAAAAGAAAAAATGATTTCACATTAATGTGCATTGCAGGCTTGCTTCGCCTGTGCATTTATTGGAGTTATTTCCCTTCAATCATCTATCCTGAATAGAGGGTGGAAATTATGTTTTAAACCTACTCAACACCAACAAGGTTATTTTATTTCAGTAATTCACTTGCAGGAAGAGGATTTTAATAGTGGAAGGAAAGCAAAGAACCTGGCCCCGAGTTCACAAAGCATTCTCAGACTTAAGTTGAGAATTTGCTCAACTTTCAATCACTGTTTATGAGAAATATCTTTGATCCAGATACACAAAACTTTGCATATAGTTTCTTATTGATATATCTGATACATTAAAACAACAAAATTATTATAAAGGGCTATATTTTAGTTAAAATAAGGTGAACAATTTTAAGTAAATTCTCAACTTAAGTCTGAGAATGCTTTGTGAACTCGGGGCCAGGTGTATGCAAATACACTTGTTATGATTTAAAGCATTAAATCACTTGTTGACACTCAAACACACTCTACCCTGGAAGTAGGCATATAGATGTAAAAGAATTCTAGGGCCTCAAAGTCTAAGGCTCTGGATATCAGCATTGAACAAACTATAAACACAGGGCTCCTCACAGAATTTTTAACTCACTTCATTAAGGATTTCAAATCGCAGTCATTATAATTGGACTTTTGCATTTAAATAATGGTGGTTGTGGTGGGGGGGGGGGAGAATTTTTTAACATATAAGATTCTTTCCATTTCTGTAAAAATCATGGGCACATTTTAACAATTATTAAGCCATTGGACCATTTCTAAAAAAAACCAAACATTTTTCTGAAATTGGTATACTCAATCTGATGGTATATAACATCTTTTATTTCGGTTTAACCAAACAACATCGTCAAGTATGTCAGTCTTTTCTATGAGGTTGGTCATTAAAATTTTTGTCTTATGTGCTTTAGATCTAGACTCATAATATGTTACCAATAAAATCGTGTATATACCTTTTTGAATGGGTAAATAATAAAATTCTCATTTTGCATTGGATTTTGTGTTGATTTGCTTTGTGTAACAACGATCTGTCCTCTTTGAAAATTCTGTGTCTACAGATAAAGCCAGCTCCCCACTAAATGGCAATTTACTTAACAAATTCCATGTATCTTTTAAGGAGTATGATTGCAGAAAGTCGAAATTCGATGAGACAAATAATATGAATACCAACCATGTTAAATTTGGCTTTTTTAGTGTTACAGCTAGTTAAAGCACTACTAATTGTCAATGCATTTGACTGGATTTGACTGCTCAGCCCATCAACTTTTATCTAATCATGAGAGATCAAAACCAGCAGTTGGCTGATCTCCAAATATGACCCACAGAGATGTCATTAATTTGTGTAAATTATATAAATTTAAAATACAGATGTGACGTCATCCTTTGATGTTGGTGTACCATTAATGTGCCAAGCGTACATTATTTATACTAGTAGCAATATTGGACCCGCATGACGTATTTCATTGAAATGCACGTGCTGGATAGTGTCTATATTTTAACTTGTCTAATGGTTTTGTGCAAGACATTGCGTAATAAATAGATATTGCCCTTGTGCTATTGCACTTGTACAATATCAATATATTACTTAATGTCTCGCACTCGACCATTAAACTACACTTAGACAATCTATAAAGATGAATTTTGCCAAACACAAAGTACAAGAGTCTGTAATATTGGGGACATCTTATCATTGAAATACAAAGCACATTATAGTTTAAATTCATTTCACAAAATCATGTGACCATTACTATGGTTACCACAATGTCTTCCCCCATTAACAGAAAACAAAACAAGTTAGGTAATATTTTGTAACATATAACAGATTGAGTATTTATTATTAGATCCAATGTTCACATACAAAGGAACAGACAAATTGTGATGAGCAGTAGTACAATATTTAAAATTAACTGTGATGAACATTATGCCAGTTTTAGTATTTAATGTCAACCTACATTTTAGTTTAGAATTATGCTGTATAGAAATGAAAAGTGAAAAACACAAAGACAAATAATCCGTACACAGACACCAATTATTATTTTATGTTGACTAGAAAATGTGTGGAAAAAAAAATATCTGTATGAAAAACAGATAATTAACTAATAGTCACAATACTAGTCAGTTCAAACATTTTACACTTAATATCATTTACCGTCTAATTATTATATGGACAACCATAACAACATCTTGGATCATAAGTTAACAATTTGAAACTGACTAGGCATGCGTACAGAACATTAAAGCGTAGTTTAACAAGTTGATTGCATAAAACGTATATATAAAGTAACTCAATAACGGCTTGTCGTCTGCAACATGCATAAAATCATAACAATGAAAAAAAAAATATTCCAAATATACATATATTAAAAATTAAACATCTACAAATCTCACAAGATATATATATTGTACATATATATATACACTATACAATGTGTGTAATTAATATTCATTAACATAATGTTATAATTATGAGGTGATAGTTTAAGTTTAGTTTTTTCCCAAAACCTGAGATCTTTTTTGTTGATATTCTTTCAATACCTTACCTCACCCTTAATTAGTGAAAAAATTCAAGCACCACTGTAATTAATTTTAAACAGACAAAAAAAATGGTTTTAAATAAAAATATAAATATCTCTTGACAAAAATGATTGCACATAGTTTTGACCTATGTGTTTAACACATTCGACCACTGGAAATTAGGGACTGCAAATAGTCTTGATTGACTAGAAAGAAAATAGCACAGAGAGATTTTGCCAGTTATATATATTAATAATATCATAAATCCTATCTTTTTCTCTCATGTTTTATAAACTAGAAAAGAGATTATTTAGATGGAAATCTACATATATCTATTACATATATTATATATATATACACTACCTTAGCGACTTTAAGATTATATTCAAGTTTTATCACATAACTAATTACATGTATATTATTAACTCCTTTAATATTCAATGTGGACCATTGTACACAATTGTAAATATTCATAGCTATTGTCTTTTTAAGCCATCTAAGAATTTCACAGGTAAGTCTTTCTGAAGAATTCGGTCAGCTGCAAACCTTCCTTATATAATATTGTTTATATGGAGGTCCAGTAGCAACGCAGACCAATAAATATTTACAACACAAAAAGACCCAAGTCACCAGGGTTAACACAAAACTTTAGTTTTCTCTACTGTGTAACATGATCAACAAACAGATTAGATATAACACAGACAGTTTTAACGAGCTGCCTCCGTTGGCGGGACCACTGGTGGTTTTTCTGTCGGAGAATTGGAGCGTGATTTAGATGGTGTATCAGAGACAGTTGAAGGTGTTGGAGTGTCTTGAATGACTTGAGGAGGCGGGGAACTTGTTGAGTCTTTATTACTAGTAGATCTTCTCTGATCACGAGCTTCAGCGATACTGGCTACTTGAGACTTGCCACAGACATGATGATGATTTTCCCAGTCTTTATGTTGACAAAACGATCCACAATATCTAGCTATATTACATCCGCTACATGTTTCACTTGCTTTTCTCCCGCAATTCCAACAACTCTGAAATAAATACACACATAATAATTATTCCACTGCTTTATCAATATATTATTAATTAAATTAAAATCATATCTTAATTAGTTTTCTAAGTCATGTTCCAAAATTGTAGTTACAAAGATTAGAAATAAATTGCACAGTGCTAGCGATGAACAGCTCGGCACTAAAGCACTAAATAAGAAACTAACCATTTTAATGTAAAGTTAATTAATTTTTATTAAATTTAAAATTTGACTAATTTGACAAACCCTGCTGATATTTAAAATCAATCAAGATAGTCTGAAAATTATGAGACATTAAACTGTCTCCTACCTCACTTGATTCTTCCTGGTGATTTATCACTGCTACTGCCTCTTCCTGAGCTTGTTTTCTTGCATCATTAATAGATCGGTCTATTTTAAGTCTTTCATTAGCAACCAAATCTGATGCCTTCTGTTCAGCTGCAGTCATGGCTTTCTGTAATTCCAACATAGCTTGTCTTTTAACCTCGTTTACAGCTTCTTCTGAAAAGATGTACAAAATAAATTGTTGGTTTTTTTTCAGGCATCCATTGACTTAAAGATGCTGTTTCAGAATATCAATCCTCAGGTGAGATCTTTATCAAAGCTATTTAGATTCTTTACACCAAATGAACAGAATATGACAAATCAACAGTTTTAGTAGAATGCTTATCAGTTCACTTTAAATAATTCCTCAAATGCCCAGAGCAATTATTATATTGATAAACTATTTTTCAAAAGAGAATTCCTAACGTACCTGCCCTACTTCTGACATCTCTAATTTTATCATCGGTTTGACGTCTGGTATATTGCATCAAATCATTAGTTCTCTTTTTTACATCTTGATCCATACCCTCAGCATGACGTCTCATCCATACCGATAGTTCTTCACGATCTCGTATACTTCTTTCTTGTAAAACAGCCAAAGCTCGCTTTGTTTTATCGACCATACCAATAATACAGTTTAACATCTAAAACACACAATCAATGGTATTATTATATAAGAGATATAAAGACTAGATTACAAATCAATTAATCAAAAGTTATTCTAATTTCACTCTATTGTCAATTATTTATTAATTGATTGAGTTATTTACTGTATTGCTCTCCAAAAAACTCTGTACATAAATAGACAGGAATAGTTTTTGTTTGAAACGGAAATCCAATTTTGATGTGTAAAGGGGGACAACTCATGTCTGCCTAAAACATTAAAGAATAAAATAAGTTGAATGTATTTTAGACTTACTGATTCAACATGTCTCCAGTCATCATCTAATCTATCTAATGGATCAAAGCCTTCATTTCTTGTATAATCTGAAAATAAAGCAAAAATTGTCTTATAAAGAATATCCTTTTTCAAATAAATTAACCAATAAAACAGAGATTATTCAAAATGTTCCACACATCCAATTTCTATGTTTCAAAATGAATCATTATTGAATGAAACTTTCAAATATTTCAATCTGGTTTTTAAAATAATATGTACACTTACTGTAATTAGGAAAATGTCTTTCTCTTTCTCTCTCCCTATCCAACCTATCTCTTTCTACTTTTTCTCTCTCAAGTCGTTCACGCTCTCGTAATTCTCGTGATAAACTGATGTCCTCTAGTCGAATCTGACCATTGGGATTGAGATTTAGAGATCCATTTGGACTAATATGGTTGTTACCTAGCGGACTCATCTGATGATGTCTCTTAGCAGGATTTATTTCCAGGTGGTTATCTAATCCATTTTCTTTGGGTCTGGAGTGAAAAGAAAACGAACATTAAAATTTTCGAAATGTATTTACTAAATTATTAACTTTCTGTGAGACAGATTTTGAGGTTGATATATTTGTAAAACAAAAAGATACTGTATGTATAATGAAATCGACAATTTTTTTTTTTACAGAGATGTTTAAAGAGAATTTTAACTTGCTGATAAAGTATAAGATACACAGGAATTTTCTGTGAAAAAACTATTTTTCTTACCTATCAGGAGATCTTCTTTTACCATTTTCATTAAATTCTGAATTAAAGGAATCATGGGACTCTATTGGTGAATGTGCTGCATCAAAAATCACATGTTCATTCTGAGATAAAAATTGCTGTGGCGTCTGTTTGGCCATTCTAGCACAGTGTAACATTTCTCTTTGTAATAAGGGTAGATTAGCCTGTAGATAAAAATACAAACACATTTTTATACAACTGCATGATGTACAAGAAAAAATAAATATTATATACTCTTATAACTTACATGAGAAAATAATGATAAATATATTTTTGGCAAGTTTGGAATAAAAAAAACATTGTTGAGGAAACTTAACCTCCATGTTCTAAATAAAAAAATGCAAAAAGTCATATCCACTTCCATGTATAAAACAATAAAGCTAATACATACCTTAAGAAATGGTATTACAAATGGTCTTAATGGAAAATTGGTTGCTTCTTGCAGTTTGGAGTGAAATTCTTCAATAGATAGATGAGAATTCTAAGGAATAAAAATATACAGCATAACATTAGTTTAATATATCATTTCAGTTAGCCTTGACATAAAGCTGTCATAATATTTACTAAAGAGAGAATGTAGCCTACAGACAATACATCATGTAATGTCACTTATTGTCAATAGATCTTAAGTTACATATAATTAATCACTATAATAAAATGATACTAGATATAATGATATGCATTGTGTCAGCTATTTCAAATATGCCCATCGTCTAATGGACTGGCTCATTCACCAAATATTACTATAATAATGTACACATAAAATGCTATTAAACTTACCACAAGGCCAAGCACTAATGTTCGAACTCGTTCCCCAATTTCAGGTGATATATCTGATCCAAATTGCTGAAGTGTTGTTAAAAATCTTTTTAATTTACTGAGTTGACGTGCTCCACAAGCAGGGGGAAGTTGTTGACCTATGACAGTATTCATCATGGAGGGTGGTGATGGGGTTCGTCCATTCAAACTACTCAATGGAGAATGGGAACCATTCATTACTAAAAATACAATCAAAAAATACAGCTGTTAATACCTGTACTTTGTTTAGTTCAACAAAACATTTTCTTCCCTCCTAAAATAATTATAAATTAAAAGTTAAATTTTTGATTTTCTAAATTGGAAAAAGACAAATATCTAAATGTAAACTACACCATGCCCAGTAATAAAATTCAAAATTTGAGTCCAAATTTCGACTTAATCTGGTATTATCAATTTTACATACTCCATCCAATAACTTCACTATCATTATCTTACAGAAGCAGACAGGGTAAATGACTCTTTCTGGTTGTACAACTAGCTATATAATTAAACAAGTCTGCTTCATTTATTAAATTAAAACAAGGATTTTCAAAAATTTGACAGGTGATTATCTCAGATAGACAATTTTAATGATGTGGTCTTGATGAACACCAAATTCTTTGAGCTCACAATAATTAAAAGTGATTTTCCATTATTTTCATCTTTGGCAACACACATGCAAAATAATTTCCTTTTAAATGATAATCTGAAAAAAAAAACCTCTTTTTCAGTCAAGTGGCTGCACATGCGGTTTGTTAATGATGATCACTCATTATTCATTATCCGTGTTTTTTACATACCTGACACATTACTGTTAGAAGATATCGGTCTAGGTTGTGGTAATAAACCAGCCATACTATTAGGTGGTGTCGACGTCTGAGTTGATCCTTTAATGTCTGGAGAATCTGGCATTATGCTACTGCGATAATCTGCAAAGAGATTAAATAATGCAGTCTTACTTCCAAATAATTTACATAAATTTCCAACTAGATGTAATATCAATAACCATATGTTTAATATCACAAATAAATCTGTAGATCCAATACTATGACAAAATACTCTAGAAAGAAATATTTTAAACTATTGTTTCAATTAAAACAACATTTGTACCTTTGGTTTAAGTGTTCTGAGTTTAATATATTGCGTTTTCTTTGTTATAATTCAAATACCATATTGTCAGATGCTGAATCAAGTCCACAGAGATAACAAGAAATTACACTTTTTTTTCTGTCCAACTCTTTTAAAACAAGTCTGAGATTTATCTATTAATCCTTGCACTTAATTCTGTATGACTGCTACAAGTCCTGTGTTTACAATGCTAGCACAATAAAAACTATAACTCCAGTAGTCAAGGTAGAAATAAAACAGTGGCGAGAGTTACCACCATACTACAACAGCCAACTAACACAATCTACAGCTTTCTACAATAATCATCATATTTAATCCAATAGAACATCGTTGGTAGCTCACAACACCGCCCAAACAATAATGGATTTAAGAGACAATTGAACAAGTCTTCAGAAACAATCGCCTAAACATTGAAATCAGTCAACTGCAACAATGACATGTGACCAGCATAGCGTAGAAGCTCTCTATTCACTCATCGAACCCAAATACACCAGCTGATTGGCTGCAATATCCGTCTGATAGCTAAGGCACGAGCCACCAGCATCAATGTATTCACCAGCCAACAGATTCGATTTCTCCTGTCTCATTACCATCACATAAAGGACAAGTATCTATATAGCAGTTAAACGTACTATCATCATTATTACATATGGTAGCACAGCTTTATGTTTATTGTCCCCTCACAAAAACTTCGTCAAATCCAGTACGGTATTACACAAGATAAAGTCTAACCAACCAATAAAATGGTGACCAACACAATGAGCGACATATATAGGTTGTTTGTTGTAAAGAAGAGGCAGGTGGGACCACTATAGTAGCAAGATGTTACCAGCAAACATTAAGGTGTCCAGATGTGAGATACTGAATCGACAAGAGAATGCAAACAATTGATTTGGACAATACTTAGTAAACTGAGCTATTGAGAAAGTCAGTATCAAACAATCGTATTGCTACAATACAACTTTTAATCTTCCTGTTTCCATATGTTCATACAAAAGCCTGCGCTTTCAATGGCCTCACAATAACTCTGATTAATATATAATGTTTGACGACAAAACTTCACTTCTTTAAATGGTACTTATGAGTAATAAACAAAAAAGGTTGCCTTAGGAATTCCATATGGTCCCATATCAAAACTTGACAGTAATGGAGAAAAAAACTACTCAGTGTTTATTTGAATTATTTATGTGCAAATTATCAACTTCATTTTACATGGTAGTTCTATCAGCCACATTTCATCGATATGTTTCCAAAGATAATAAATATTCATGACTTAGTTAGCAGTTCATTATTCTAGACTTAGTCAGGGAAGCCAACAAAAAACAAATGAATTCAGGGAATAACACAGACAAAAAAATTAAATTACATGTATGTTAACAGAAAATCATTACAGACAAGACATAAAATATTTAAAACTTACATTTACAATCTAATAGTAAAAAATAGTTCAATGATTATTAAGTAAGTGAAATAATGTTTCAGAGAAAATTGAAATAAGAAAATTGGTAAAACCAAATGACTGCCATTGATTTTATTGTAAAAACAGGGTCCAAAAGATAAATTTCAGTTTTTGAAAGTGTGCTAAAATGTGAAAAACTTACGTTCAAGATTCCAATGTAAGACGATAATCCAGTGAAAGTAATATGGGTAAGATAGTATGTATAACTATATCAACAACAGCTATAAACACAATTAACAAATCAGGTGGAAAATTATCCTTTTACTACGCAAATCGTGACAATAGATCATTCCTCACAAAATCCAAGGATGAGCCTGCAGACGTCAAACACTGACTGTTATACAACATGAAAATAAGTAAACTGACTTTAGAGCTTAATTTCCACTACAATTATACAGTGCAGATGGCTCTCTCTGTTTCCCGCTTAATTGTACCATCTGCCTTCAATCTTGAAAGAGTAGGAACTATGTGAAGTTATCTGTTCCTCATATTATCTAGACCTTGCCAAACACAATCAGTCAAATGCACAGCTGTAAATAATTGGTAGATATTGGCAGAGGTTTTAATCATTGACAGTAGTGATACCTATACTCATATGGTCAGCAAGAGCACAATCAGGTTGAAGAAGGTACTGTTCCTGTCTTATCTGTCCATCTACTTGGCACCATGTCAATGAATACAGCAGATGGGGGGATTATTAGACCAAGTGTTGATGCTTTCACCAACAAAAACTCTCAACTCTCTCATATTTCGTACAAACTGGTTATTTGGACAAAATACAACCATGATAACAATTTCAGGTTTAAAATGAGTCTTACCTTAATCTTAGAGCAACGAAAATGTTTACCTTCTTATTATCAATCTCAGACAAATAATAAACTTTAAAACCTGGGCGGCAATGTTAATAACGACCAACCAAATCAAGATACTTGAAAAACTCTTAAATCTTTTTCTAATTTCACATGAAAAGTGCACAAATTCTTCCTTTTAACTAAGCGAACAGATTTAATGAAAATAATATGAAAAGTTTAATGAAGAAGTCATGTTAATATGTACCTACCCTTCATGACAAGCCACTGATCACAATACAAACTATCTTGCTTCATGTCGATTTGTAAACTGACTAGTATACACTGCCTTATTTTTGGCTGTCAATCCAAGAGCTTGTGCCCCGCCCACCCACCTGTGCCCTACCATCTGGTAAAGATTAAGTTGGCCAGACAGCCTGGTACCAGTGAGGAATGTACAAGGAACCAGATACCTTCAGTTTGGCACCATGTGTTTCCCATTAACTTGTCTTCTCCAAAATACAAGAACTGCTATGTATACATACGTCTAAATACAACATGGTGAAGCTCTTATACTTTCAGCCAAACGGGCACCTTTAACTTTATTCACACGTAGAAAACTGACTCCTTGAAAACAATTTGGTTTCAAAACCCAAGCATATCATTTCTTTCATCAACCAATATCATCGTTTCATAATGTAATGTAAACATTTTTAAACATATATTAAGGCCTATGAAACTTAAAAGAATTTAAAGAACTGATTCTTTGTAGTTTTAAAAAATATAACTTATCTTGTCATGACAGATATCACAATTAATTGTAAGTATTTCAATGTGAAGAAAACTGATTTCCTAATGTATTAAACATTATAAGCAAGTAAAAACTAAGTGATAAATTTCATAAATGGTAATATTCTTAAGAGTTTCCTTTAGATGAATGTACTCTTAAACAAAATAATTCATTTTTAAAATCTTTTTGTATAAATAACCAGAAAAAAAATGAGAAAAAATCTGTAAATCAGATGAATTTTGACAATTACTAAATGAAGCTAGTCCTGAAATTACCTAGTTTGTGTCAAGTGGACATTAAGCTCCATTTCTCGCTCCATAAATGAAACCATCACAATTATGATGCCATAAATTAATCCAGCTCGATTTGGACAATTATTTAGAACTATTATAATCACCTTTTAGTCATGAAAATAAAGAATACAGCTATAAATTCCAATAGAGCAGAGTTGGTGGCGGTGGTGTAATACAAGCAGTGTTTAATTCAACTAACTGACCACTGATCAGATCAAGTTCTGGTAACCTCATCCTCCAACAAACTAACTAAATATGTTGACCAGTTAACTGACCTACAGTATTGACCTTCTGACTTCTGCCACCTTTATCTTATTACCAATCTCTTTATTTATTGGCCTCAGGTGTTAGGTACATCACCTTCATTAGCCAAACTTGTGGTCTACCCACTAATTACCATAATCTGCTTATTGTTCTACTCATCAGAAGGTAGCAATAAAAGAAAGTCCTAGTTAGTTTTTGGCACCCTTCCGGTAATTGGTTTAAATTGATTGGGAGTAAATTAATAGGAAAAACAGAATAGTCAAGCAACAGAGATTACAGAATTTTTAAGAAAGTGTTCAGTTTATCATTAAATAGATAAAAATACCATGGTCACATTTTCATCTTCACTAATGCGTTAATAGAACATATTGAATATTATAAATTAAAATAAATTTAAATATTTCTGGTAATATTAAGAACATAACCTTTGGATTAGAAATCTTCTATTTTTTTTTTAAATTTGGCCAATGCAATTAAATACTTCTAGTTAATAATTTCTATCTAATATATCCTTTAATAATATTATTTTTTCTTTATAATCATACAGTAAAACAAAAGGACAAATAAACTAGAGTATTTTTTCGTGTTTCTAATAAAGAAAAAAAACTCAATTGTTTTGAGAAAAACAAAGGAAAAAACTGATAGCATGCAATGTGGCAAAGAATTTGTTCTGAATTGTTTTATTAATTAATGTAAGAGGTTGAAGTGTAGCACAGGTAGTCAATCTGTTCCTATGTTTACTTGGTAACTCTACTGTGTATTATCAGAACTTCTACTAAAACAATCAGTGTATATTATCTTAATTCTCTGGGGTCATAAATTAATCAACAAAATATTGTAATACACTAGCAATACCGCTGATAAAAACACTATACTTGTAGTAACGCCAGAAGGCAGGCACAAACCAGCATTCATAAAATATTCCATGACTAATGATATTCTACAGAATTAATTCTATACACAAGAGATGAGCTACCAACAGCACATGTGCCAAAGGGTGGCACGCAAGAAAGTTGGGTGACACACCTAATCCAGAAAAAAAATCATTTTTTTTGATTAAAAAAAAGTTTTAGATAATTAAAGTCACAGCATCTGTTTCCATTTTTAAGGTAATAAAATGAAACATAAAATATTTATTTCTCAGAATATCAATGATTTCTATATTAATTTATAATCAATTCTTAAAATCTATTCCATGAAGACACATTATTGAATAAAACATGTTACAAGGTATTTACATAAAGGAATAAAAACCTGTACAGGTAACAAACATACATAGTTGAAGGTACACAAAGATATGGTTACAATAACATAAATGACTGGTATCCACAAGCACTTAAGCATTTCAATAAGTCTACAATTTTGTTTTTCAACATTAACATTTTAAATTGTTAGGAATCGTTGAATTCATTGAAGATTGGTTCTTGATATAAAAATCTGTAGCCCAAATTTTTTTTCTGAATGTTATTTGTGGGATGTTAATAAATCAATTTCATATCCTCTACCTCCTGGCGCATTAGAGTATGAAAATATAAGTGAAAATAAGGGATACATATTTTTCTTCAAAAACAAAATGCTTATAATTTTTATATCCAAAGATTAAAGAAATCAGTGAGAAATTTCTAAACTTATTTAATACCTTATTTGTAAACCACCTGGGTGTTCTTTTTCAAGATTGTTTGGAAACTCCCTTTTTAACCATTAAAATCAATTCTTTCAGCCATCTATAAAAAGCAAAACTCTAATTCACCCACCCCCTTTAAAAGCTGTTATTATAGCAAATTTCGAGACATTATATTTCTAAATACACCCACTGTAAACAATCTTTTGCTGAACTATGTAAGGCAGAGATCAGTAATTGAACCTGAGGCTAGACAGGGGTTTTGATTTACAAAAGATCCCAATAAAAACATTTCTGTATAATCAGATTAAATGTGTCTTACACTATCCATTTGTAACTGATGCCTCAGATTAGATTGAATTCGTTATGGTGGACAATTGTTTTTAAAAGAGATTGAACAATATTAGGCTCAGCTGTTGACTCAGAACTTAATAAAATCAATCATTTGTTACATGTCCTAATCAATAATTTAGAAGAAAGTCATTATCTTCAAAATGGCAGTTAGACATATGCAAATCATTATGAAATAAACATTTGATTGAAACTGACACTTTGACTGAATCAAACATATTCTTTAGTATAATGTGTCACATGCTTTGTTCATGTTCAAACAATTTACCATAAACTAGTGTATACAACCCCATTATTAAATGAGCCCAAATTTGACATAATTTACCATAAACAGAAAGCAATTCTATTACTCTAAAAACATCTCTAAATCTTTCAGTTATGAAAATTATTTCTTTACCCTACCAAATGCATGAACAAAAAAA